GGGTGTGGATGTGGGTGTGGGTGTGGGTGTGGGTGTGGGTGTGGGTGTGGGTGTGTTTCATATTAGATAGAATCAAAGCAGGCATACGACGCGTTTCGACTTTGTATTTCAGTTGTTGATTGAAGGAAACGATTTTTTCTTAGATATGTCAGTAGCTTTTAATCTGAAACTTTCGTTTTTCATGGTATGTTTTATTTAGTGTATCTAAAAAAATGAAATATCTATATTATGGTTAGTGTTTGAACTGAGAGAAATATGTCATATTCATAGTGAATATATAGTTCCATATCAAAGATGGTGTTAAGTTTTTGAAGGTTTTTGCAGTATGAGTTAGAATGATACAAAGGATGGAGAAAAATTACATGTTTTGTTTTCTTTATGTTTTATGCTGTAGGTGTGGTTTGTAACGTGATGGTATTTGTTGTCGATGCTTCTTCTATACATGTTAAGATCTCTCGGGGTGGTTTCTTGTGAATAAAAAATGTTTCTAGTGTTCGCTACGTAATACTGACTAGTCGAACTTTAACGTTTTGCAGAAGAGACCCGTCGTGTGCATAGTGAGTTCGCTACCATTGGTAAAATTGTTTTCGAAAAGTGGTGGATTGAGAACTGTCGAACAAATATCGTGGATACATGATGTTTGCGTCTCATATATTGTGTTGCATTATTGTAGGTGACCGGATTGGATCTTGTGTCATTAGATTAAGTTGATTTTCGTGGCGGGTCGGTTGATATAATAATTGTTGATGTAGCTGATGGTAAAATTGTTTATTCAATTCGTTGGCAAGGGACATGGCGTTGTTTACTTCAAAGAATCGATAGAATTGCTTTGCGATAAAATTTGGTGGATAATTATTTAGTAATAGTGACATATCAATACGAATACATTCTCTGTTGAAGTCATGTACATCAGAACAAATACGGGCAGCACGTAGTAAAGAAGAATATGGTATATTTCGATGAATATGACGTGGGTGGTCGGATGTATATGGCAATATATAAGGTTCAGAAGTTTGCTTATGATAAAGGGATGTTTTTAATTGTCCATGGTCATTTGTTATTGTAGTATCCAAAAAATTAACCTTTGTGTTAATTCCATGATGAATTTTAATATTTATATCTTTTTTGGATGCATGTTGGAGCTCTTCTTTAATTTCATATGTAGTTTGATTGGTGGTCATGAATACATCATCGATGTAACTACAATAGGGAAAAATTAGTAATTGGATGTTTTCAGTTGAACAAATGTTTGACAAACCTTCCATATATTCCATTATATTTTTCTTGATGTTTGATTAAATCCTGTTCCCATTCATACATATAGATATTAGCTAACACTTATGTGAATGCTGAGCCCATAGCTCCACCTCGAGTTTGTTTATAATATCTATTATTATAGGCAAAGCAATTGTTATCCAATATTAAACGAGCTATTCACATAATATGATCAATTCCCATGTAAAAAAAAAGCCTAGAAATCGGATTAAAATCGATTTTCGAGAGAAAAATCGTGAAAAATCGATTAAAAGTGGCAAATTCTGATTAAATTCGACCCAAGAATCGATTATAATCGATTTTACTTAGAAAAAATCGATTATAATCGATTTTACTTAGAAAAAATCGATTAAAATCGATTTCTTTTGAAGAAATCGCAATAATCGATTAAAAATCTAATCGATTTTAATCCATTATTCTATGAAATCGATTAAAATCGATTTTACTGAACAAAAATGGATGAAAATCGGGGTGTGGGTGTGGATGTGGGTATGTGGGGTGTGGGTGTGGGTGTGTGGGGTGTGGGTGTGGGGTGTGGGTATGGGTGTGGGTGTGGGGTGTGTGGATGTGAGGTGTGGATGTGAGGTGTGGGTGTGTGGGTGGGTGTGGGTGTGAGCTATCTTTTTATCAACACCCACACCCCACACGCACACCCACACCCACACCCACACCCACACCCCACGCCCACACCCCACGCCCACACCCCACACCCCACACCCCACACCCACATCAGACTAATATGAAAAATCTCTTAAACATGAAAGAAAAACTCATTGAGTAAACGTTGTTCATATAAGTACAATAATGAATTTATTTTTGCCAATAAGAAACTAACGAAATATTATAGAAAAGCATTATATATACAAATTAAAATTGAAGAAACAACACAATCCGATCTTGTTAATATTTCTACAATCTATTCTAATATTGAATGTATATTAACAGATGTGCATTTATTCTTACCAGAATTGATTGATCTTGAAAAAGATTTAGATATTCGATTATAAACATCTACCAAAAGATTATTTGAATATTGGATAATCTTATAATCATTTGGAATATGTTTATTCTAATCATACAAGTCTACTAAATATAAATATTGATGCAACTCATTCTAGTGAGCGAAAACATGAATTAGCTATAGAATTATATATTGATGTTAAAACTAGTTATAAAATAACAGGTAAATATTCTGTGTCTGTCAATTATTATAGAGCTTGTATTAAACAAAGTCATAAAATGAAAACTGAAAATTATTCTTGCATAAATATGTTTGAAGATGCGATTATCAAGATGTATCGGTTGAACTGAACAAATGAGAGTTAAAACTAAAAAAAGGAAAAATGGATTTAAGCCCCCCTCCCCTCAGAAAAGCCGTTTTTTGCAAAGTAATCGAAGTCGAATTTTTATCCTAGAAAGATGCAGCAAAGTTTCCTCTTTCAGAATATATATAAATTTTTTAAAAAAGGTCAAATTTTGACAGACTTTCGTAGGAGATTTCCACCTCACTACCCGGTTTTCGGAGAGATTTTTGCGGTTTTTGTTAGTTTTGGGAAGACTACTTTTTTACTTCTATCAGCATGGCATCAATATTCTTATATCATATAGTACGACCTGTAGTGCTAGCTTACACCATCTATTGCGTGCTTTCAAAAACTCCACATAAATATTATCAATATACCATTATTTCCTGCATTTGAATGAAAAATCCATTGCTAAAACTTCTTTTGCGTTTTCCTCAGAACATGGTCCCGATCAGAAAAATTGGAACTCCTCCCTCATTTCTCGAGCTATATCCAATATTTTTTTTTGTTTTAAAGGTCTCCGTAAGAGGAAACTTTTCATCGACCAGTTTTTTTAAAATCGATTCCTGGGCTGAGAAAAGTGGAATTTACTGTCGTCATATCACTGTTTTTTAAGACATGTCTACTAAAATATTCATAAAAAATGAACAATACGGAATTTAGAAATTCTGGTCGATGAAAAGTTGCGTACTGACGTGGGCTTTAATTTGAAACCAGCCCGAGCTCTATACCTCGTACTGGGACGGAGTTTTATCAATTCTCCTGAAGGCCAAAAATGACCTATAAATCAGCTGGAAATTCGGTCTGATATGACCTATAGAGCTGAAATTTTTACCAGAAGCATATCTCACTAAGATCACTCATCCCTGAAAATTTCAGCTCAAGCGGACCATTCTAAGTGGGAAATTTTTTCTGAGGGGGGAGGTCCCCTTAAACAAGTGAACTTAATGTGTAATTTATCAACTAAATTGCATTTAAGATTTTCTTGTAATTGAAATTGTTTCTTTTTCCTCATTTTATTAAAAATGTAAATAGAATTTCATCAATGTCTGTTGAATTGTCATTATTCTTTCAAATAAAATCATTTCAATTTTAATGGAATACTTTTTCTAATCTGCGTACTCAAGTCCAAAAGGATGTTTAAGAACAGATTTGTTTTTATTCTGATCGTAATATTTCATTCTCACTTGTCTTATTAGAATGACACAAATGAAAAATCTATTTTTGTTTCATGCGCGCTAAAATTATTTTAGATTAAAAAATTTCAATATCGAAGAATATTTAAAAAAAAATTATGTCAAGATCGAATAGTGCAATCCAATTTGCATGACCCAATCTTGTACTTCACCATAAACACCACAGACTCTATAATCATTGTTCGGAACTATCAATTCATTTTGACTTCCACCATTCAGATTACCAAACCATTTACTACGTCTTTTATTAGTGATAATTTGAAGAGCATCAATCCAGGCGCCACTTCTTACACCAAAACCTCTAATAAATTCATTATATTCCATAGTAAAATCATGCGGTGAACCGCTTCGTTTTCCAAAGAGAAATGAATCTTGTTTAGTAAAGAATTCAAGACCATCTAGACAGAAACCACTATGAACTCGTATCTTCACAAGTGGATCAATGGGGAATAGAATTGTTGAAGGAGAACCTGTTTGTAAGCCTAATTTAGCTGATTTCCATACTTTTCCAAGTCCTGAAACTTGTTGAACTTGTAGTAAATCTTCAATATCATCAATGGTAGTACTCATTCCATTGAGACCAATAACATTGATTTTAATTTTTCCTTTTCCATCAGCTCGACTCCTCAATTCATCTTCACAGAGAATAATTTCGGAAGGTGATTTCTCGACATATTCTATCCATGATTTTGGAAACTCATCGTCTTCAAGATAAATTTCTATTAGCAATATTTTACTTGGTGACTTGAGTAAAATACCTTGATCAATTCCAAATATGTCTATCTCGTTTTCTTCAAAAACTTGATCGCTAGGCAATGCAAAACATGGATGCGTGCGAAAACGCAATAGATCAAGTCGATGCCATGAACATTCAGCTCCGTTCAATGCCGGGGGTCCAACTGGTTCAGTAACACAAAACGATCGATTTAAACGAATATAATCTCGCATCATGACACCACTACGTTGATGTGGACAGCCCAATAAATGTCCTAGTTCATGCATCATCGCACCGATACCAACATTACATGCAATCCAATATTTATTACCTTCTATATCGATACCGCAGTAATTTGTATTAACGCTTCTTTCATCCATAAAGCATGAAATAACATTTTCTAAAGATGATGACCAAGAAAAGAGAGAATGAGAACCGAATATAGCGAGAGAATATTGTGCAGTGACACTTCCCGATCCTAATGCTGCATGTCCTGTAATAAGACCATTTTCAAAATGTGAGTCCAAAAATAAAGCTACTATGTGGTGTCCTTCTCCTGAAAATTCAGGTTTAATGGCTTCTAATGCTATATCAAAGAGACTATTCCGTTTTTCGGCGTCTGGATTCTGTTGTGCTCGTTTTGGATCACGGATTTCTGCAATTGTATATTTACTTCTCAATACATGAATCGTAGCTGTATTTCTATATGATTGATCTACCAAACTAAGTGAATCACGTTGCCATGATTCGTTTAATCGAAATGTTCGATGACCTAACCCATTTGATGACATTTGAGAGCCAGTATACGCTTGCCATAAATATCCAGCTAATCTTAACTTTTTTATCGCTGTATCTAAAGTTGGTGGTTCTTGACAATCTGGAACATCATCATAAGTAAGTGGAGAATCGAATCCAACGATTATGCATAGATGAAGAGGAGGATTTTGTAAAAGTGGAATATAACATACTGACCATGATGATACCCACAAACGATGACCATCATAGTAACTCATCGAAATATTATTCTCACCAGGTGATAAATGTATTAATGCTTTAAATTGTCCGTTTCTAACAGGAAAAGATTGTGTTGGAAAATTTTTATGATGAGATGAAATTTGAATATCACCATTTGTATTTGATCCACAGGTTCCTTTTACGAGAAGGAGACGAGAATGAACTTGACTATTAGGAGGATGCGAAACTATGCGCGGTGACAAATCTGAGAGTTCTGACATTACTATTTAATATTGAAAAAGAAAAGAAAATTATATATTCTATTGCAAGTTTATATTATTGTAAGAAGTAATTGCACAACAGAATGAGTAAAAAACAGTCAAAATTCTAGTAAAACATGACACTGTATTTACTTTGAATGAAACAGAACAGAAATATAAAATCTTGCCTTCTTTTTATTTGATTAATGTTCTAGAAGAAAAACAACAAAAAAAACAAAATACGTGTAACTATTTGATTTTTTCAGCACATACAATGTTCCCAATGTCACGATTACTTAAGAAATTCATAAAAATTCATTACTAATCAATCTTACAAGTGCTCGCGAAACGTAATCCGATCAGAATGAGTAACATAATTTAAATAATAATTAGTCAGAAAATTTTGAAAATAAAATAGAGGGTGTGGGTGTGAGGTTGAATAGAGTGAAGACTAACACCCACATCCAGACCCACACCCTTGTGACGACAATACAGATTTCTGAACAATCGTAAGCTCGATTGTTCGTTTTTCTTCGTCTTTTCAATTTTACCGTAGATTCGATTCGAGCTTCGCATCGCATTTCGTAGTCGAGTGAAACTCGAATACCGTCTAGTTTATCGTGATAACATCGACTGTCAGGGTGTGGGTGTGTGGGTGTGGGTGTGGGTGTGGGTGTGGATGTGGGTGTGGGTGTGGGTGTGTGGGGTGCGGGGTGTGGGTGTGGATGTGGGTGTGGGTGTGGTGTGGGTATTTATCTCTTCGCCCACACCCACATTGTACGAATGGTTGATATTCATTATTTAAACGTTTAATGCGTAATAAATGTTGCCAAAATGAACCATGAGATGATGATGGTGGTTCTACTGTAGCAATAAATTCACCAGTTTTAAGTTTTTCTATCACCTGCTTCTTTTTTCGTTCTATATCTTGTTTTGAATTAGACATAGTTGATATTCCAGTAAGAGGGAAATTTAACTGATATTGATGATGATATTTTAGAGATTATTTAATTCTAATAATGAAGAAAAAAAAGAAGATAAAACTCAAAATAAAAAAGACTACATATACACTTGAATAGCTATAAAATATATTATGGATAAGTTATCGATAAATCTGTTTCTATTGAATATCTTAACGACCAATCTAAATTGATTTCTCAGTTCACTTTCACTTTGGATTCTATCTTGCTTCTTAATGTATAACTTCTGAAAAGATGTCGACAATCTCTAGCTCACAAAATTAGTTACAGGTTGACAGGTTACGACATCCGTACCCTGCAACCTGCCCTGTGAAAATT